AAAAAAAAAAAAAAAAAAAAAAAAAAAAAAAAAAAAAAAAAAAAAAAAAGAGAGAGAGAGAGGGAAGTATCATGAAATTGCCAGAAAAGAAAATGCTTTTAATTTATTGTTAGGAGAAGCTTGTACTGAGATAAGCTTTTTGGCTAAGTTACCAAAGCAGCTATAACTTTGAAAAAATAGGAAGCTGAAATGGTGAAATGGCACTCTCAGAAAAGATGACTAAAAATAACAATAGAGCAAATAAAGGCTGTAAAACACAGTGATAGGGAAGTTCCAAAAACACTTATCTGCAAGAGCAAAACAACATGACACCAGCTTGTAAAAACATTTTTTCAGGACTGTCATGTCATATATTAGACTTCTTGGCATTCTGTGACTCGCTACAACAAGCAAAGTTGCACGAGCAGGGGGTTTTAGGCAACCATTTGGTACTCAAGGAGCTGACAGTCCTGCATTCCTGCCGCTGCATCAGGACTTTCCTGGGTCTAGAGGCACCTCATGGCCAAGCAGTTGATGTCTCCAGCTCCCTAAGGCCCTTCCTCCTGTAGTGTCCAAGAGCTGCACCATTTTAGTGGAGTTAATTCTACTCCTCTGCCACTGACACGACTATCAGCAGATGAGATGAACTGAGGGGTCACTCCCAGGAATCCTGCAGTGAGGGATGCTTGCTTCCTAAGTAGTTCCTTTGCTACTAGACTTCCTCTGCCATTCTTTCTTCCAGAAAGAATGATAGGCACAGGAACTTTTCAAACAAACAAACAAACAAACAAAAAAAGAAACATCAAAGTAACTTCTGAAAAGGGTGTTACCAGCGGAATCTTACAAAAACACATTAATGTATTTTACTCAGTAGGAATCAACTGGTATCTCACGGAAAGTTGTAAAAACATTCTTGAAAATAATTCAGGTTTTCTGTTTTCTTCTCTTTTCCACTTCTTGAAATCACTGAAGCACAGAAACAGTTACTACTCAGTCCTCACCTACCTACTCCATATGGAAAACCGTGAAGTCACGTTCTCATTGTCATCTCTCCAGCAGCTAAATGGGATGTTACACATCAAAGAGAATGACAGAACACAGGATACCAGCAACCAAAGAGATGAGCTCTCAACAACACAAATCCTGTCGATATTTATAACCTAGGGGACTTCAGAAACCAAACAGATACAATAAATTGGAACACGCCTAGAAGCACCATTTGTGTGCAACATTTCCCTTCAATATTTAACATTTTTTAAAGGTGAACAGAGAAATGGGGCAACTGTGCAAAGTTAGGTGCATAAACCACATACACCTACTCTGCTTCCTCCTGTAGAGTCTCATCATTGTAATTTAAAATCAGGTATAATACATGAAAACATACCTATAGTGGCACTCCTGGAAACCAACATAATATTGCATTTTTCCAGAGCAAAAAATACCAAAGGTTACCATTTGTTATCTGCAGATTTCATTATAGTCTAGATAAACAAACCTCAACTTGCAACTGCATTCCAGAAAAAATACAACACAATTGCTTATGGAGATGAACTTTTTAGTTGGACTAAAAGCATCAATTCCAGAACGGTTCCACACTCAGGACGTGCCTTCTCCAGTCCAAGCCTGTTACTTCCAAGTCCAGCAGACCCCCAGCTGTAAATCTGCTTACCCTACAACTTCTTCACTTTATTATTACCTTGGTTTCCAGCAGACTGAATTCCTTTCCCCCACACGTTTCAGGACCTTACAGAAAGGACCTTGACATTGTCCATAGGTATTTCTTTAACTCCTCCTATCACAAAAGAATCCTAACAGGACAGGAATAAGGTCTTTGAAAGTGTACAAGAGGAAACAGAGAAATACCAGATAAGTTTGAAGACTGAGCCCAGCTGCAAGTTACTGTTCCACCAGTGCAGAAGCCTGGGCTGTCAGCACTGCCCAGGAAAGACCTGACTGCCTATAAACCAGCAGAACTACACGCTCCAGGAGCAGCGAGTGAGTAACACAACAGAAAATCACAAAGAGAGAACTTTTGAAATCAACATTAGAAATCTAGAACCAAATGCACATTGGCCCGATTTTATTCCATGAAAATCACAAAAAATCAATTCTTAGGTATTTCTTATTTGATTGAAATTGAAATAATACAGAATATGGGTTTCATAAATAGTCACCTGAAATGAAAAAGGGAAAAAAATAAAAGAATCCAGATACTCCAACTATCAGCAAAGATAAACTTAGATGAAACTTTATGTTCTCTACTTACTTAATCTGCAACTCCACTTTGCGCACTCTGCTTATTCAACCTTAGTCAAACCATTTTAGACACCTATAAATTCCCAATGGTTGGTTTGGATACACGTGCTATCTTTCAAATAGAAAAGATCTACCAGAAGCTCTGCAAATCATATACTTTGAAGAAACAAAAATGGCCATGTGCTGTGAGTTAACAGCAGTGACAAACATTTTCTATCAAGGCGTACCGTCTCAGATCGCTCCAGTGCGAACGCTAATTAAAATTAATTACATGTGTCTCTGAAGATCTTGTTTTCTTAATATCCCAAAAAGCCAAAGAGACAATCTCTAAGACAATGCTGTGAAATTACCACGTAAGGCTTTTGCCACCTGACTCACGTGAGCGCTCTCCCAAAAGCATAAGGATCTTTTCAAGTGCATGTGCCCAAAACACTCAATTTTAAGGTGAAAATGAACAGAAGATATGCTGATCAGTACATAGACAAACCTTGGCAAGTCCTACATGTAACCCAGTACAGAAATGCAGCCAAAACTAACATCCCATGGGCCAAAATCCGCAGTAGTAACAGTGACTGCCACTAAAATATTCCGTAACTCCCTGGAGAAGAAGGTTTGATGCCTTTCGTGGCGAGGACTGGAAACCTGTTTTGGAAGCTGCCTTGGGGCCACACAGACACAAAAGCTGCCCACAGCTGTCAGTCCCTCCTCCCCCAGGGAGGGAGCTCAGCTCCTGCTCCACTGCTGCCCTTTGCTGGATGGGGCAGTGTCATGCAAAGAACACTTGTCAATAATGGCAAAAAAGAAATAATCCAGAAAAAAAAAAAAAAGACCCAAACTTTTTGGGTCTTTTTTTTTTTTTTTTAAATGGAATGGACTTGGGGGATAAAGGCTAGCCATTCCTTGGGTTCGTATATTTTTCCTG